TTCCTACTGAAACATTGTCTAGCTGTTTCCTTCAAGAACAAACAGACCATGGTCAAGTATGTTCCTACTGAAATATGGTCTAGCTATGTCCTCCATGAACCAACAGACCAAGGACTAGTATCTAAATATGTTCCGATTGTAACTCCTATTGCGACAGAATTACAATGATGAACGATTGCCATTGTAGTGTAACGTTAAAAAATACAAACACGTCACCTAAAACATGATGGATTATGGAAGTGAGATCATGAAAATGTTGTTTAACGCTGCGGTCATCGATGTTCCATCTGTTTCAAGGAGTGTTGTAAAAATCTTGGCAATACGCCTGAGTGAGCAATTATGGTTTTAAGCCGTTTTTAACAATATTCCAGCAATATCAGGGCGGGGGAGACGAGAAATGGGCTTCACACAATTTACGCATGTCGGGAATCGAACCCGGGTATTCGGAGTGACGAGCGAACGCTTGAACCACAAGGCTACCCCACCACCCCAGGGGCTAGACGAACCAGTGATTGATAGCAAAGAGCAAAGAAAATCGCCGTCGGGGTGTTGGTGGTTCACGGGGTATTGGCGTTGTATTTTGTCACTCATTTAGACGATGGGCGAATGAGTGAAACAACGTTGTTTGTATGTTACAGCTGTATCACGGGGGCCTATAATGTACGTCACAATTTCCCAAGACGTTGAACCTTTGCTCTTGGACGGTAGGGTAGCCAAGTGGTTAAAGTGTTCGCTCGTCACGCCGAAGACCAGAGTTCGATTCCCCACATGTATACAACGTGTAATGCCCATTTCTGGTGTCCCCCGTCGTGATATTGCAAGAATATTGCTAAAAGCGACGAAAAACCATACTCACTCACAACGTCACTGTGGGGATTCTGAGTAATCATACGTCCCCAGCAACCTACGCTGGTTGTAAGAGGCGACCAGATGGATCTGATGGTCAGGCTAGATGACCTGGGTAATAGCGTATCGCCGTACTCTCAAGGTGTTGATCGTTGACAGGGACCGTGAAGATCCCGGCTAAATTAGGTCTTCAGCAATCCATGTTTGTCGTAAGAGGCGCCTAACGGGGATCGGGTAGTCAGGCTCGCTGACTTGGTTGATGATGGTCATCATATCCCAATTGCGTGAATCGATGTTCGTGATGTCAATCACTGAATTGTCTGGTCTAGACTCGATTATTTACAGACCGCCGTTATATAACTGGAATATTGCTGAGTGCGACGTTAAACAACAAACACAAAACTTCAGCCACACTCAGGCAGTAAATATCAGACCGGTCATCGTGTCCTATAAAGCATAACGCACATGCTCTTAACACAGCCGTCATCCACGAAACGGCTCTTGACATGACCATGTTATACGGCGTGTTATGGCCTGTCGAACCAGCCGTACATGAATCATTTCACCCGACATCCTGCGAGACACGCTGGAAATACATGGCATGTACTATTCTGCTGATAAAGGCGAACAATGTCAACCACAAACATTGAGCAAATAATAAAGTTGGGATACCAAAGAATTACAAGGACACGAAGCGTCTACCGGTCGATCAATATTTGCCGCTGTCACTCTTCAATCTAATCTTTCACTGTTCGTGTGTGATAAAGAGGAGATTGCCGATCGGAGCAATACTATACAAAAGGGAGGAGAATGGTAATGAAATGTTGAACGGTGAACGTTTGTGGATAAACGGTTGTGTGGATGTGAATTGTACCATCGTGTTATTGAATGGGACAGAATTAACGGCCGTTTTTGTCTTGTTGTCACGGATGTCAGTGAGTGAGTATGGTTTTACGCCGCTTTTAACACTATTCTTACAATATCACTGCGGGGGACACCATTAATGTGCATGGTGTCAAATAACGGTAAGTGAAGGTCGCGTCTTTTGTAAAGAGGAAACAAAATAATATGGAATGAAATTAAATGGGTTTTTTTGCCTTAATTCCCGTCGAATCAAAATAGGCTAAGACAGGAAGGGAATTCACGCAATTGGGATATGATGACATGCATCAACCAACCAATGGTCTTTCCAAACTTTCTACTCGTATCAAATAAACCCGAGCTACAACGTTAGTATGAGATCACTGACTACCGATCCAACACAATTTGGGAATGCCGAGCTGGGGTTTTGTATCGCGACTAGATATTTTTCAGCTACTGCTACAAAACCAAATATTTTTGTTATTTAAAACTTGAGCCTGAATTTTTTTAAAGAAAACACCTTGCAACAATTTAATTTTGTGGCAGGTAATTGCATTTTATTTCCAGTCTAAAGCATAATTATTGTTTTAATCCCAGAGGCATGGTTGCCACTCAGGAACCAACCATCGCCAATTGGCGGTCATTATATTTCACAGCCGCCAGGTATTTTGTAATAAGGGAAGAATACTACTAAACCCCGACACTAGACAACACCAGTATTTGGTCTTAACACTAACAGAGATACCCTAGTTATTAGATCACCGTATATATCTCCACAATGTCAGCGTGACCCCACACATAGATAACGTTCAGTCAATACGTGTACAGCAGTTTGAACACATGAATCAATGCCTACATTAATCTGTCGAACACGACACGCACGGATGTGATAAACATATGTGGCAGCATTATATGCAAAAATCAAATACACGTAGTACTTGACCAGCGGGTCGTAGTGACTAGGGCGGTCGGGTAGCCTAGTAGTTAAAGCGTTCGCTCGTCACGCCGAAGACCCGGGTTCGATTCCCGACATGGGTACAATGTGTGAAACCCATTTCTGGTGTCCCCCGCCGTGATATTAGTGGAATATTGCTAAAAGTGGCGTAAAACCACACTCACTCAAACGCGTAGTGACAATGTTTTCGACATGAATATTTGAAAGTAATTCAGTTCATGAATTCACGTTACGTATAATGCGTAACTCCAATTGAGTGAAGTTTTACGCCGCTTTTAGCAACATTCATGCTATATCACGGCGGGGGACACCAGCAAGGGCTTCACAACATTGTACCCATGTCGGGAATCGAATCCGGTCTTCGGCGTTAACCAGCGAACGCCTTAACAACTAGGCCACCCCATCCGTAACTCTTTGTGGTCTTGTCTGAATTCTTATCTGCACTGTGATCTCAAATCACTCCCCATTACTCGAACTATGGATAAGTTGATATACCGGTAGTTTCTATTGTCTTTCTAAGGTGTTTCGTTCATCCCTTTAGGAAACTCGGTAGGGTTGAGTTCGAGTAAGAGAGAGTTCGACATAAGGCGGTCCTAACCCCATACAGACAGTGCATGACAGTGACACTTCTACATCAAAAGTGAAATGTACTATAAGGCATACACATGTCAGTCCACATTGCCTCAAAATAAATAGCACGCCGTATCCATGGTAACCAAGTGTCGATATTGGATCATGTGTGTGATCCACCAGAGTTGAAGGCTGTATACAGTATTACATGTATCTATCACATCCATAATGTACGACGTACGTGTCTAGCCATCAATCAACAGCTTATCCTCCATATTCATATTGGCATGGGCAATTTACAATGTATTCAGACATGCGACCTGACATAACAACATTTGCGTTACGTGTTTACTCATCACAAATGTTACTGACTGTTTGTTGGTTTGTTGTTTAACGCGGCACTCCGCAATATCCCAGCGGCAGCTGTGACAGATACGAAATCTTAGAATAATCACCTCATTGCCTCACAATACATTTATTAATGCGTAGGAAAAAAATATCCTACCTAAATTACATTTTTTGTCAGGTAATGTTTACTAAATGTAAACAAGGACTTCACCCATGTAAATAAGGATTCCTGGATAATATTAATTCGAATTGGCATTCTCCAAAAACGGGTTTTACAAATAACGGCCACAGGTCTTGGCTCCAGGTAATTCGAATGTTAAATATGGTCCACGTGGTGCTAGTGTCCGCAGTATGCTATATCAGGTATAGTCGGCTGTGCAAGCAGAATTGCATCATGCATGTCTGTATAACGGATGTATAATACATCGTGTATAACTGGGCTGTGTGAAGTTACGTCATGTATAACTGTTCATTATGTTATACAATGTACAATTTACAGTGTGCGCAGAAAGGTATATGTGATAGTATTATTGGTACCCTACTGTATAACATGTAATTTATATTTTAATACAGTGTGTAATAAATGCAGTGTGTCATACGCCTGAGGGTCGGATATTACATTATTTTATGGACTCAAACTGTTGCATAGCAATATGTGACCCTTAAATACAATAATTTTCTTCCTCTATTTTCTTATAGATATATAAACATGGTCGAGACCGCAACGTTAGAGGCGGGATGTTGTTAAATACATTATTCTTCCTGTATACATCCTGGTGTTGGTGAATGCGTGCTTCGGGAATGTGACAACGTCCGTATTATCAGTGAACGTACACAGGAAATCAAAACGGAAACGAACGATAGATCTCTTTGGTTTGAAACAATGAAAATAATGTCCCTACTTCCACGTGCATTATTAATAACGATATGTGTACAGGTCTTATGGGAAACAAGATGAGTGTCATGTAAAATCAATTCAATCACCTCATATATACCCTAAAATTCAAACACACAAACGTCGTCAAGGCAGGTGCAGGATTTTGGCGTCACGCATGACGGTCGCATTTTTTTATCATATCGACATTAACAAAGCTGAAAACTACATATTCACACGTGTTAATGAAAATGCGCAAGTAAATATCACATATCAAGTCTATGCATTAAACAACGTTTCTCGGAATCACGCACGGTGAACAGGTATATGGTAGCGTTGTGATCGTGGCGGAACTAAATGAAATTATTACGTGTGTTTGATAGCAACAGCTTGAGTAAGAACTAAAATTATTATAACAGTTTGACAAGACGCGCCGTATTAACATGACCGTTGACGCTGATATGAGTTTATACGCAATCACACAATAGTCGTCACTAAACACATCCGTTACTGAAACAACAGAATAAGAAGTTTTCAATCGATTACCTGTCGTGAATAGTTGGTCTTTGTTGATGTTCGGGTAAACAATGTCCGGAGCAGTTTACTCTCAACAGGTGAAACTCTCAGGTGTGAGGTCTGTGTCTGTGCAGTTTACTCCATTAAGCATTCATGACCCGGTGTAACAGTGAGTCATATGTCACTGTATGTATGGAGGGTTATATTCAGGAAACGACATCCAGTCTTGTCTGTCGCCTGCTTACTCAACTCCACACACCAATCGCACCTGGCGAGCGAAGTGTGTTTCATGCCTGATGCAGTTACCTCCCTTTGCTTAACGGGATGCCATTCGGATTTGCATTTCAATGCGTGAGTGATTTAGGTTGCTGATAACAAAGCTATCCCAGGGTTCACTGCGCTTTTGGTGAAAACATAGGGAGAAATCATTGTAGCGGAACTTCATGCGATCTATGAAGTCGGGAGAGTCTTTTATCTTGGGCAGTATTTTGACCCTGTGTTTATCGTATCACGTACAATATATGGATAAAAGCCAACACGGCTATGCGTTATGGAAGAAATACAATATCAATGTACTCATTGTGATGAAATAAAAATGACGACTGGTCCTATTTTTGAACGAGCAGGCGTATTTCAGTTACTTAAAACACGATATATTTCATCGTGTTTGCTTCGTTACACTGATGACAAAGGTGCAGGTATCAGATTTGGTCGCTTACAGCATGTTTGATACGGTTAGCAGAGGTGACCTAGATAACTTAACAGTTACTCATACCAGTGGCAGACATTATATACCATTATATATATGTATGTACCTGGAGCCCTGGATGTAAACTCAATCACAAAAGATTCATCCGTTCCCCCGTATTCCTTTCTGGAATTTTAATTATCAAGGCGCATACCGAGCAGATTCCACGACTGAGAGTCGCAAAGAAATGTCCTTTAAGAGGTACACCGGAGACTGAATCCAGGATGGAGAGTAGGATGGTGGGGGCAGGTGGAGAGGGGTGCAATTTTATATTTGTTTGAAAAAATAAATGGCTTGAAGGGAGGGGAGAAGGGGACAGGGAGAGAAGGGGTGGCGGAGGAGGGGGGGCGGGGGGGGTTAACACGAAGAGCATCAACAGGTAAACACTCCACCCTACCACAGTATACTAGTGTGGATAGATAGATAGTTGGATAGATAGATGAATAGATGGATGGATGGATGGTCACCATACCCAGCTCCCTTAGTTCTCCTCCCCAACCCCATCGGCATCTATTCCAAATCTCAAAATTCCCAAATTCTATATAAGCAACCCCTAAACCCCCCTCTTGGGTTGCACAGACCACTTTCGCCCCTTTCGGAAACACATTAAATGGCCTGGCCGGGCCCGTGTGTGAAATACGCATCAGTCGGAAAGCGCACGTTAAATCTCCAAAGTAAGTAAGTAAAGTAGGATGGATGGTTGGATAGATAGAGAGAGAGATAGTTAGATCGATAGATAGATAGATGATGGATAGTTAGACAGATAGATAGATAAGTAAGGATAAGATATATGGATGAACAACTTCTTTATAACAATTAAGAGCGACGTTTCGGTGTAGGTTCTAACACCGTTATCAAGCAAGTGTTAGAACCTACACCGAAACGTCGCTCTTAATTGTAATAAAGAAGTTGTTCATCCATAAATTATTATCCTTACTTAGTACTCCAACTTCTAAATGCCTATCAAAGAAGATAGATAGATAGATAGCCATGTATCCTTGTTGGGTTTTTTAACATAATTTTAATGTGATATACTTCAGCCAGTTTAAAGAATAACCCTTACGTGGTGCTACTTGTATTATTTATTACCTCTCAAGCTCAAGCTTTTTCCTTTTTATTTCCTTTTTTTCTTTTTTAGTACTTAATTCGGAGAGTGCTCTTGGTAAGGCTGAGAATGTTATGACTGCCTAAAGCCATCACTGTTGTGGGTGCTTTTTATTGTATCGTACTGTATACTGATGCTAAATCTGTTTTACGTGTCCTATTAGCCTGTATGGCTGGACACTACCTTTGGTATACGTGTATTTCAATGTGTCATGTGAAATCTTAATTGTAGTGGGTGACACAATAATAAAATTATTTCTTCTTCTTCTTCTTCTTCTTCTTCTTCTTCTTTTCAGTATACCAGCTATTCAACCCTTTATAGGTATTCTAATCATGTACGGGGCGGTCGGGTAGCCTAGTGGTTAAAGCGTTCGCTCGTCACGCCGAAGACCCGGGTTCGATTCCCGACATGGGTACAATGTGTGAAGCCCATTTCTGGTGTTCCCCGCCGTGATATTGCTGGAATAGTGCTAAAAGCGGCGTAAAACCATACTCACTCACTCACCCACTCTAATCATGTACCATCCTCGATAATGCAAGGTAGTATATCCATATTCTGTTAAGAGGAATACCATGATCCCATTCACTGCCCTAGTGACTGGAGAGATGGAGATCCGTTACTTTGCCAACGAATGTGTCCAGGACAACTTATTATAAAAGAATGGAAATATAATCCAAAGGATAATCGAGGTTGGCAAATATCATGTTATCACGAAACCTCGAAAACAGCAGTGAGTAAGGTAACACCACAGCTTCCCGAGGCAAGGGTGTTAACTGATTTTAAAAGTCCAGTTTCCACCCTTGCCGAACTAGACTGGAATTCCTGGACGATCGTATCGTCACCAGTGGCTGTTACAAGTTAAATCCTTTCTATACCTCTCCTATGGACCAATCGGATTCCACCTCTCGTATCACTTGCATTTGATTCAAACAAAATGGCGGCGCCCAGTCAAGACGATCTGATCGATAATCAAGATCTATATTGTGAGAAAACGGGTCTTACATCGCGAAGTGCATCAAATCACGTGAGCACCTTGATTAAAAACTTGAAAAGATTTGGAAAATATCTGTTGACAGCGAGTTGGCGGTGCACATGCTGTGCAAATCCTGCAATCGACCGAAATCTGCTCGACAGTTTACGAACCGGATTTCGATTTCGGTGCGCGATTTTGATTGGACTATGCATAGACTTGTTAGTCCAGCCAAAATGTAACTCCATAATACCAGCCTAGTTCGGCAAGGGTGGAAACTGGACTTTCATAGTCAGTTAACTCTCTTGCCTCGGGAAGATGCCCAACCATCGCGTACGATATCACATTGTGACCACTGATTCCCATTTAAGTCGGCTCTTACAGGAATAGAGGACCCAGTTCCACAAACCGATCGTAGCCCTAATAATCCTTAGTGCTACGACCACGTACCGTATATGTTGAGATATTGGAGTGCCTAGCCTAGTGGTTACAGCGTTCGTCACGCCGAAGGCCCGGGTTCGATTCCCTACATGCGTAACATTGAGAAGCCTCTTTCTGGTCTCCGACGGTATGATAATACTGGAAGATTGCTCAAAGCGGAATATAACCATATTCACTCACTCACGACTGTGCAAACAATAACATAGAGATGGCGTCGTCACTTCCGGAACAAAAGGTATTCTTCATGGTGGAAAGGATACATAAGGCACCGGATAATCGAGCGTGAGTAGGCCCTGACTGTTTAATATACTCTCCCAAAAAGTAGGGGATATCCCAAATAACAAATGGTCACAGAAATACAAAGAGTAATGGAAGTGGATGGATAAGAAAAAGTGAGTGAGTGAGTGAGTTGGGTTTAACGCCGCTTTTAACAGTATTCCAGTCATATCGCGGCGTGTCAGCTTAATGTGGGAGGAAAGCCCGAAGTGATGCAGGTCTCAGACATTTACCACTTCGGTGAAACCCACGAGCACGGGTATGGTGTTGACAAACCTAGAAACATAATTGGGGCGAACCGATAAGAAAAAGGAAGGACTAGGTGGAACATGACAACCAACAGTACATACTGGTGGAAAATTGTTAGGGTGCAAACCACCAAGAAAGACGATAGGGGTGTGGTAAAATAATCAAAGTTTTGAGATGACTTGATCAATAATTGGTCACGCCCCTACAATTGGTCAAACATTCGTTTAAAACAGCTAGGCATGGTCTGAATCAAACACCCCATGACAATTTGAGAGAGTCTTGTGCACTCCCCCCTTGCAGCGCCTGGCCCAGTTCTGCTGTTGTAGCGGGTGACCTTTGACGTCGTTGTACACGTCTCCCAAACACGTCCCAGGTACGACACGTGCACCATCTTGAAAGACACATCGTACAACTATTGGCGCCAGTTTGTTGTCTCTGTAGTACTGTCCAGTGACCTTCATGGACAATATGCAAGGGCGCTCTGGCAGTCATAGTGATGGCGACCCATATTATGACAGACCGATCCCAAATTCTATCATGTTGCCTTACGTTGACGTTCGCGACCTATATCATGACAGACCGACACAAAATTCTATCATGTTGCCTTACGTTGACGTTCGCGACCTATATCATGACAGACCGACCCCAAATTCTATCATGTTGCCTTACGTTGACGTTCGCGACCTATATCATGACAGACCGATCCCAAATTCTATCACGTTGCCTTACGTTGACGTTCGCGACCCATATCATGACAGACCGACACAAAATTCTATCATGTTGCCTTACGTTGACGTTCGCGACCTATATCATGACAGACCGACCCCAAATTCTTTTATGTTGCCTTACGTTGACGTTCGCGACCTATATCATGACAGACCGACCCCAAATTCTTTCATGTTGCCTTACGTTGACGTTCGCGACCCATATCATGACAGACCGACCCCAAATTCTATCATGTTGCCTTACGTTGACGTTCGCGACCTATATCATGACAGACCGACCCCAAATTCTATCATGTTGCCTTACGTTGACGTTCGCGACCCATATCATGACAGACCGACCCTAAATTCTATCATGTTGCCTTACGTTGACGTTCGCGACCCATATCATGACAGACCGACCCCAACTTCTATCATGTTGCCTTACGTTGACGTTCGCGACCCATATCATGACAGACCGACACAAAATTCTATCATGTTGCCTTACGTTGACGTTCGCGACCCATATCATGACAGACCGACCCCAAATTCTATCACGTTGCCTTACGTTGACGTTCGCGACCCATATCATGACAGACCGACACCAAATTCTATACGTTGCCTTACGTTGACGTTCGCGACCTATATCATGACAGACCGACCCCAAATTCTATCACGTTGCCTTACGTTGACGTTCGCGACCCATATCATGACAGACCGACCCCAAATTCTATACGTTGCCTTACGTAGACGTCCGCATGACGTTCGTTCGGACGCCTCCACATACGCTCCTGCCTGTCCTGAAATCTTGACTCGTTTGAAAACAATACACGAGACGATCAGCGATCCCCCCGCTTTCTCTACCCTGAACGCCATTGGCGTCTGGGTAGAATGTGTCGACTTGTTAACGTCTGGGCAGTCAGGAACTCCCATGGCCTGGCGTAAGTCAAGCAACGGTTTGAGTGGTTGTTTGGGCCCGATTTCGTAAAGCCTGGTTTCTGATTAATCCACCCCGGACTTGTGATGTTGACCTATGGCGCCATGTGCAGGACTAATCATTAACAGTTTGCAGACTGGGACACGCTGAACATAATGGCAACATCACGCTGCGTTCTCCCAGTTTGATGTATGCAAATAGCCTCAGGCGTTCATCCCAAGCTGATCACAAATACTGCATTGGAGAAAGAGTAGAGAGTTTACGTGTTACTGGGGATAATGAAAATTAACAATGCTAATTGCCAAAGGCGATTTGTCGACCTTGCGCCGAAGTGTCAAGATCAAGAATGACCCCCTACCCACGTGCACAGAGGAATGGCATCATCCACGTGCAATGTCTCGGGGTGTTGGGGTGTTAGGTTTTGGTTCCGAAAACGTTATCCGCAGTCAGATTTCAGAGCTGATCTATCTTCTGACGAACGTATCCAATCTAGCAATGAAAGTAATTAGATAGTCTTTTTTGTTCTTTCGCGTATGGCGAATTCAAAACATTAAATAGAAAAGTTGGGTTCGTTTTGGGAGTAATACGCCTTTAACGTAAAACATATTTTGAAAAGTTTCCAATTTACCTTCTTCATTTATTTCACTTATTTTCACATTTCACTAGATTTACTATTCAATATTTTCCATTATTATAAATAATCTTTAAATTTTGCATTCAATGCTGTGCGTATTTTGCGGTACAAAAAACCAGACCCCTGAAAATTCAGGTTAGAATCGATCTTCAGCAACCCATGCTTGTCGTAAGAGGCGACTGACGGGATGGGGTGGTCAGGCTCTTTGACTTGGTTGATGCATGTCACCGTATTCCAATTGTGTAGATGGATGCTCATGATGTCAACCACTGGATTGTCCGGTCCAGACTCGATTAGTTAGAGATCGCCGTCATGCAGCTGGAACATTGCTGAGTGCGGCTTTAAACAACAAACAAACAAACAAAACAATAAGAACCTACGCTCGTCAATTACGTGGCTACAATATATCTACGCCATGCGTTGTTGTAGGTTTACCTGTATAACATAACATTACTAAATTGCCGGGCAAAGGAAAGAATACATCCAAGTGTAATGGTGGCTAAAAATAAAACAAGAAATGGTTATTCGATGGCCATGTCTATGGGTATCAAAGTCGTGTTGTGGATCTTAAGTTTGCAGTGTTTCGGCGATTGTTTTAGCCTTGTAACGTTTTGATAACGTTTGTAAGTTTTTAGTCAATCCAATATTCAAGTGTATACTTTTTTTATTTGACCGACAGTTCATGTCCACAGTCAACAATAAAGTAGCATATCACATTCGTCTTTGTTGTCACAACTACCCGCGTGGGGATTCCCCAGAAACCCGTGCTTGTCGTAAGAGGTGACTTTGTGGATCGGGGGTAGGCTCGCTGACCTGATTGCACGATATCAGTATCAATATACAGTAAACTACGGTTATAACGAACTGACGGATATAACGAACTTATTTTTTAGTCCAGGCCATTTGCTGCATTTATGTTGTATATATGCTTATAACGAACTACGGTTATTACGAACTAAAATTAGTGGTCCCTTCGAGTTCGTTATAACCGGAGTTTACTGTAATATAAATATGAATATAAATGTGATAGGTTTGTCTGGTTCAGATTATCTATATGCTCCTGTAAACAGCTGGAATAGTTGAGGCGTTAAATAAATAAATGGTGTGTTGGTGATATTACTGGCGCTTCGAATACTCTTATCGCTAATGTGAAAAGAGGAGCAATATTTATCTCACAAATGTGCAAACAAGATTTTGCACCTTCAGTACAATCGTAATATCGAAATGGTCGCATACCTTGTATTAACTAAGGATTCGAACCGTCGATACAATGAGCCACATAACTATTAAATTGTTAAACTATTATATTCCGACCCGCGAACATCATGTAGTGGTCCCGCTAGAGTTAACTCCCCTGCTATGTCGCGAATGCAGTGGGGGAGTGATGGGTTCATCGTCAAATGGGAGTCAGAATCGGCGACTTGGACGTGCCTGTCGCTGTTCCCCGACGGCGTCTATCGTTACTAATATTATCAATCACTGGATTGTCCGGTCCAGACCCGATTTACAGGATGCCATCATATAGCTGGAATATTGCCGAGTACGGCGTTAAACAACAAATATGACTTTTACCGTCCTTTAAGTCGAATCATTTCGTTTTTCCTGAGAGTAGTGCCAGATCATCCTCCATCCATGGTGTATAGTAGTCAGAATTATAGTATTTGTACAGTGACTTGTGACAGGACACTTCCAGAATGGGCATCATGCATTTAACCCGTCTACAGAACCACCTTACACACCCAACTATCTCGGACGTGGTCGACATGCCTGGAAGTCTGCGTTGTAGGGGGTAGAATTAAAGCACCATTCATACCATCGCAATATTTTCGCGCTGACTTGGTTGGAACATGTCACCGTATGTAACTGCGTAATCGATGCTCATGATGTCCGTCACTGGATAGTCTGGTCCACAGTCTACAGACCGCAGTCATATAGCTGGAATATTGCTGAGTACGGCGTTAACAACAAAACAGAAAATAATGTAAATAATCGCACTTGTACAACAAATTTTAGCAACATTCCATCACCAGGGCCGTAGCCAGCCGGGGGGGGGGGGGGGGGGGGGGGGGGGCAGTTTTATTTGAATCAAGTTGGGGACAAGTGATACTTGTACAAATATTTGCCCTCCCTGTCAAAAAAAATTAACTACGGCCTTGATCACTATCAGGGCTGGGTGAGTGAGTTGGGTTTAACGCCGCTTTTAACAATATTCCAGTTATATCGCGGCGTGTCAGCTAAATGTGGGAGGAAAGCCCGAAGTGATGCAGGTCTCTGACGTTTACCACTTCGGTGAAACCCACGAGCACGGGTATGGTGCTGACAAATCTAGAAACATAATCGGAGCGAACCGGGATTCGAACCCACAATCATAGGTTTCTGGCGTGCCCAAGGGACGCTACTCTGCACAGCGAATCGCGGCGCCTTAGACGACTGGGCCACCCGTGCCCCCCTATCAGGGCTGGGAAGTCCAGAAATGGATTCACACATTGTACCCATACAGGGAATCAAACCCGTGTGCCGAGCCAACGCTTTCACCACTTGGCCACCCCACAGCCATATACACACATGGGAAAAAACGAAGCATTGATTGAGAAAGATGTTTAATTTCATTAATCAATAAAATAACAACACAATATAAATTGGTCATGAAAAGACATGAATTGGTCATACGGCAACAAGTGTATATCATTAGGAAGAATCATCTTATACAGACTGGCATATACTATGAAAACATACATCTACACAGAAAGTAATGGCCCATTCACACACGGTCATAAGTATATGTTAAATATAGGAGACACGACTGTCGAAGAGCAAAGATCGTTCTGTGATCGTCCAGAACTGACAGCCCGAATGTTTAAGGACTTCACAGGAAACTGTCTCCCTGAATATAACTGCACAGCGAAGACTCATTTAAAGCCATGGGATCGGAAATATATCGACTTAACCGTAGTTAGAGAAAACAAAATTATTTACTGAAGTGATCTGGAGATATGTAACGTTGACCTCATTTTTGTTTTACCGGTTTTAATTTAATATTTCACTATGAACCCAAATACATTTCTTAAAATCAGTTTTTATGATCATATAACATCTAAATACTTCGCACGTCGTGTGCTAGTATTTCCACGTCACGTGACCGCAGTGAGTATTGCACGTGATATGGAACCACTCGGTATTGAGGTAAATGCACCAAAGAAGGTCACGTGATCATTAAGTAATTCTCGAAGCCATGTATATAAAAGTCTGCTCAACAGGTGTTAACAGTGGTTAAACACGATTTGTGCTTTTCATGGATAAATAAAACAATATCACATTATTAATATAATATATTTTTTTCATTAAACATTTGCTGTATATCATATCTTAATCATTATTGCCGTCCAGCTGTTATTGATAACATTATCTGTGGACCACCAGAGCTGAAACATAGGCGATTTACGAAGCTTTAATGAGTATAAGATTTTAAATGTTATATTCGTGAGTGAGTGGTTGGGTTTAACGCCGTTTTAACACTATTCCAGTTATATCACGGTGCGCCCGCTTAATGTAGGAGGAATGTCCGAAGTAATGCAGGTCTCAGAAGTTTACCGCTTCGGTGAAACGTTCTATTCATGATGGGGGTGGTCGGGTAGCCTAGTGGTTAAAGCGTTCGCTCGTCACGCCAAAGACCCGGGTTCTAATCCCGACATGGGTACAATGTGTGAAGCCCATTTCTGGTGTCCCCCGCCGTGATATTGCTGGAATATTGCTAAAAGCGGCGTAAAACCATACTCACTCACTCTCTCTATTCATGAAGCACATGATGTCAAAGAAGGGGAAAACACGAAAGCAGTTATTTCGTGTACAATTTTCTTGTATACTTGTATTTATTCAAAAGAAAGAGTATTTCCGTGGTTTGTAAATTATTCCCATATTCATTCAACAAGTAACCAGCCCGACCCACTGGAAAGATATGTTCACATCCGTAGCTTAACCTACTTGGCGCCACCTATAAATGCTCCCAGTCCCGTCTGAAGGTACAATAATAAAAGGACACATCGTACAGGCCTCTAGAACAGGAGTATTGCTTTCCACAGTAACATAGCTCATGGCAGTATGACATATTTACGACAAGAATGTTTGTCTCACATTGCATGTGTGTCAGTGGCTGTCATTGTTTATAAGTAGCCAAGGTAAACAGCCAGACAAATAAAGTATACACCCATGTTTGATGGTGGCAAAAATATATAAAAACAAACAAACAAGAAATGGTTCGATGATGATGTATTCGATACTAGTATCATAAGTGTGTTTTGACCTCAAATTTGCAGCGTTTCGGCAGCTGTATTAAGCCTAGTAACGTTTTGATAACGTTAAAGTTTTTGCTTAAAACCGATTTTCGAGTGTATACTTTCTTTTACCCGGCAGTTTATACAGAATAATATTAATCAATTGAAACATGATGATTTTTTTAAAAGTTCAGAATAGAATTATTTTTTTAAATCATTCACAATAACTTTTCTTTAAAAAAAAATCATTCACAATAACTTTTCTTTACGATAATACTTTACGAGTCACGATAATCAAAATGTTTCAATGACTCTTTGTCAACCGGTAGACACGTACACACAAGATAGGAATGTAATGAGGACAGCGAGGAAGTCATCTGGAAGATGGACGTACTACGTCACAAAGGGACATTGAGCGTCTGGAATGTATTTCATGAGGTCCTTGGTTGTCTGTGTGGAACTTATTTCTTTGGAAGGACATTGTCCCTGTACTGTCCGATGACGTTTCCGGGCGGCCTGTAGTTGGCCACAACGATGACCTTTCCACCCTGACCTTTGGCCTTACCAACACCGAGTTCTTTGCTTCCTTTCCAAACCATCTGGGTAAAATGTCCTGTAACAAAGTCGTGGTTCTATTTGAAACGTATTTGATTTGCTTTGGGTTTTTTTGCTAACGCCGCACTCAGCAATATTCCAGCTATATCACGGCGGTCTGTAAATAATCGATTCTGTGACAGACAATCAAGTCATTTTTCATGAGCATCGATCTACGCAGTTGGGATACGATGACATGCATCAACCAAGTCAGCGAGCCTGACTGCCCGATCCCGTTAGTCGCCTCTTACGACAAGCATGGGTTGCTGAAGACCTATTCTAACCCGGATCTTCACGGGTCGAAACGTATTTGAAACATTTTTACATTTGACAACGATACAAGGTCAACGCTGTCATATAGGATAATTACAATGTATAGACAATCTGTTTGTACTTTTTATTATCGTTGGCCATGAAAGCGGCGTAAAATCACTCACGAACTCACTTTAATAAGTGTAGCAGGACAGAGGGTTACATCATGAAACAAAGATGGCTTCTTCAATGGCCATTTTTTGTATTTGAATCATCTGTAATTTCACAGTTTAATATCTTAGCGGTGTAAGGAGTGAGAATGTGCTGAAGAAAAGAGGTGGACGTACCTGATCCCATAGAGCGGTCCGATCTGAAGTCATGCTTGGTGATTTCACTGTACCACTGGTCACACACCTCTTGACCTGCAATACACACGTGATAATAGAGCACCCACGTCATCCTTGTTTGTTTGTTTGTTTGTTTGTTTGTTTGTTTAACGCCGCACTCAGCAGTATTCCAGCTTTGTAACGGCGGTCTGTAAATAATCGAGGCTGGACCAGACAATCCAGTGATTGACATTATGAGCTTTGATCTACGCAATTGGGATACGGTGACTTGCATCAACCAAGTCAGCAAGCCTGACCACCCGATCCCGTTAGTCGCCTCTTACAACAAGCATAGTCGCCTTGTACGACATAGGTTGCTGAAGACAAATTTTGACCCGGATCTTCACGGGTACCACATCATCCTGTGTTATGAAGGTATCGTCTTGGGATCAGACCATCGGAATTCCACCGAAAACCATTCCTCGCTATAGTTGCTTGGAATGGCGCGTAAAAAGAGAATTGGATTGTCACAATGACAGCTTATGGATTATGCTTGGCCAGGATACTCCTGCCGTGAACGAACAGTTAGCCCTAGCCTATCGAGCGATGTGGCACCGAGCCTCCAATAGCCGGAATTTTGAGGGTTTTTTAATATATTTTGGGAAAACGGAAGTGACAATAAAGCCCGGGCCTCATTGAAGTCACCAAATCGGTCAATGTCTATCCCCGTTATTTGGGACGTTCAACTTTTATCAAGCTGACGTCATGATACAACATTAATCGAGTTAAAGCGGCGTAAAACACAACTCACTCACTCGTAACGGAGGTCGGGTAGCCTTGTTGTTAAAGCGTTCGCTCGTCACCGAAGACCCGGGTTTGATCCACATGGGTACAATGTGTGAAGCCCATTTTTTGGTGTCCCACGCCGTGATATTGCTGAAAATATTGCTAAAAGCGGCGTAATACCCCACTCCATCACTCACTTACACAATAACTGCAACTTACTAGAATAATCCCCACCGCCGGTTGACCATTTACAGGCGATGTTCTCCCCGATCCGCTCCCCGTTCAGCATACACTGACTGTGTTGAAAGGAGCCGGTAGATGCCAGGTGCTCCGCCCACTTCTGCGCATGCCCACTCAGTTCCTTGCTGTGCTTGAGTTTGGAGGCGCCATGTTTGTCTCGCACCTTGTTGTGGGCTTTCACCACGCCGTCGATGAAGTCGCTCATTTTTTCGGGCTTCTTGGGTTTCCGTTCTTGTGATGAATCGCTTGAGCTGCTACTCTGTAGACACAGATCGCATGGTGTTAGACAAGGATCCAGACGAATCTATAAGCCTTTGAATATTTATTGACATCATTTCGTTCACACTGGGTGTTTATATTTTGAGGGGTGGTTGGGGTGGGGGTTATTCAGTACATTTTTACTCTCTTGGGTCCAGTCTATTGTGTATATTTATACTATCATAACCAATTTAAGGTGACAATTTGTGCATCTTTCACAGCAGTATAATCCAATTTGAAAAAAAGGAGGGTGGGTGCACATAACACCCAATTTGGGGTAAACGTTGAACTGAAAAAAGGGGGGGGGGGGGTGCATTTCCTGTACAAAAAAACTTCACGCACTCACACCTCCCCCATGGATCCGCCAGTGCGTATTTCTACGCAAACATCTCATTAATAGGGTATTGGTGATTTATATTGCGTATTTTACGCAAATACGTAGCATATCTGGAGTTCTGAAAACACTGACAGTACGGACAGTCCATGTGAAACATCATGTAAATACGTTTTGAGATCTCCGTCTGACAAATCGATATATTGTAATGTGTGGTTAACATCCTGGGGGTTAAAGCGTTAGCTCTCACCCACAATGACTCGGGTTCGAATCCCAACAATTTCTGGTGTTTACCCCTCGTGTATGGCTTAAATAATACAAAAAGCGTCGCAAACATCTTCTCACACACTAACTTACTCATTCTGAATGTCTGAATGGATACTCAAGTGTCCTTTCAAGGAAATATTTTTGATTAAGATGAATGGAAAAGTACATGATTAGCAGGTTTATGATGAACAGTATATTTCATCGTTATTTCCAGCAGTCTAACATCCATGTTAATTATGGACATTTTGACTTGTCATTGATGTTTTGACATGGGACCACGGGCAGCCGCAACACAACTGTAGTGCGGCGTTAAACAACAAAACAAACAAACAAACACATACAAGATAGGAGTATCTAAGACTCCACGCAATGCTTCTAGGGCATCGACAGTATGTTTGGTAATTGACCACTCCAGAGAGTGCCGAGTCAGCATATTTACCAGCGGTCACTCCGACCTACTGACCAGTAAATGACCTGTCTGGCATCGATTTATTGACTTCGGTCAGTTAGGGCAGTGCAATACAGGCTGTTATGTTAGATGACATAGTAATTAGAATATGTGCTAAGCAAAAAAAAACATTCACTATGACAGAGGCTTACATTCATGCATATGCAGTAAAAAAACTCGATAGTCCGGACCTCGATAACACGGGAACCCGCGTTAGTGGACGATTCCCGCTGGTAACTGTTATATGAATACAAAGTGACCTTATCCGTACTAATGATTCGCTAATCCGGACAACGCTTCCGTGTAGATTAACGGGGTTCATCGTATCACAAAACATGAGTGTAGAAGTACCTGTCTGTAAAAGAGTGAGTGAGTGAGTATCGATTTGCGCATCTATGAGCAATATTCCGGAAATATCACAGCAGGGGGACATCAGACAAGGACTTCACACATTGTTTGTTTGTTGTTTAACGCCCCCACTCAGCAATATTCCAGCTCTATGACGGTGGTCTGGAAATAATAGAGCCTGGACCAAACAATCCAGCGATTGACAGTATGAGCATCGATCCACGAAATTGGGATAAGATGACATGCATCAACCAAGTCAGCGAGCCTGACCACCCGATCCCGTTAGTTTCCTCTTACAGCAAGCATGGGTTGCTGAAGACCTATTCTACCCCATATCAAGATGAGGTGTAGGGCATGGAATGGGCTTTGGGAAAGCACGGGGTCTGGTTCTGGGTGTAGAACAAGGACGGAATGTTGGGTGTTGGGCAAACGTGGGATTTATGACAAGGATTGAATGTAAGTCAAAGACTGGATGTGGCGGGAGCGACGCGTCTGAAAGTAACGCCGTGACGATCAGCCACAGACCGGCTGCAGCCGGCCTTGAAAGAGGACGAGATTACACGAAGCGTAGCTTAACATCGATTATTATCAATACGCTATAATCCTCCAAGTTAGAATACACCCTGTATTATTCTTACCTTTTTTCGAAAATCCATGTTTTATCCTTAGTGGTTACGGATATATGGACACTGTCTCTCTCTAAGCCCGCAGCCCAGACACATCGGAATATAAGCCAGTGGTATTGATTTTCTGGTATCGCGGGGGCCGTCGGTTAAAGATAACGACCCTAGGAACCCTAAATTACTGCAGCTTAGGAGCACTTGTAAACTATTCCGGCGCGTATGTGATGGGGAAACGTCAAAACTGTGTCATATCGGCAATACTCTGCTAATTCATCTTATTTCATCTGGGGATAAGTCGAAATCTGGTGCTTTCTGATCTTTTTTGGATCCCGGGAAACATAAGCTCCCAATGCCCAATACTGATGTTGTTTGTTTGTTTGTTTGTTTGTTTGTTTGTTGTTTAAGCTATATGACGGCGGTCTGTAAATAATCGAGTCTGGACAAGACAATCCAGTGATTGACATCATGAGCATCGATCAACGCAATTGGGATCGATGACATGCATAAACCAAATCAGCGAGCCTGACCATCCGATCCCGTTAGTCGCCTCTTACGACATGCATAGTCGCCTTTTACGGCAAGCATGGGTTGCTGAAGACCTATTCTACCCCGGATCTTCACGGGCCCAATACTGATGTAAATGCGGAGGGTGACAATGTGCTACCTGGAAGACAGTCAATATACTGGTGGCGCTGGCCCAGGCAATCAACCACTGGTTCGCCTGGTCCAGATTCGACCATTCACAGGCCGCCGCCATATAGCTGGAATGCTAATGCGGCCCCAAAGATTCTCTGGGTGGGGACGTATACATAGTTCAAGGTTCCACCTACCTTTGATCGACTCTTCTTCTTCCCCTGCGGACTAGAACCTTTAAATGGAGACCTCCCGATGCGCAGCTTGCTCTGAAAAAGTCAGTGTGAAGGTGGGGTGCTTATAAAGTTATGACATTACACGAAATACAGAAATAAGGTGTGTGAACATAAAACGTTAGAATAACCAGAATCTATTATCCACGGAAACAGACCTCATTTGGCACCAAAGGCAAAATAGCGGTGAAAATTATATAAATGGATCACTGAAAATGTTTGATGACACCAGGTGTCCTCGAAAAGGGTAAGCATGTCCTGTCCTATTGGCATCGGTATCGGGTAGAGCGCAACTACTAATATCATATTCTTTTCGAACCCCAACAGATCGATGTGGTTGTTTTGTACACAGAAGAAAAGACACGTTACACAAATATTTGTCCCCAAAAGGAGGAAGGAAAATATATAGTATTACAAATATATTTTTATTAAATATTCAGTGCCTACTGATTATTGCATTGTGCCCATTAACGTATTTACTTGTGTGTCGGTTCACTGATTTGGAGAAAATACTACCCTTTCACTTCCGGTTAAGTCTTTTTCTAGACGGAGAACAGATGTCGTAAGATGCGACTAACGGGATCGGGTGGTCAGACTTGCTGACTTCGTTGATGCATGTCATCGTATCCCAGTTGCGTAGATGATGTCAAGCACTTGATTGTCTGATCCAGACTCGATTATTTATAGACCGCCGTATAGCTGGAATATTGCTGAGGGCGGCGTTAAAAACAAACAAACAAACAGATGCAGTCAACATGGCATGTAACTGTACATTGTGAGACTGCTTGGATATTTCCAGTTTGTACTGAAGATGACAGTTGTGACGTATACATCAGTAAAACTAGTAGTTAAATTGGTCTGGTTTATACCTAATCTCGGATTCAGATGCAGCAAGATGGGATTAGGAAGAAAAAAATGTTGCTGTTGTGATCATCCCATGAAAGCAAGATTAGAATTACCTAAGAGCAAACGTACAGCAACCTAACAACAACCTTAATGCGACATTGAGCTGCCTCAGAGCGACCCCAGAGCAAACTTGGAGTAAACTTTGCGCAACCTCAAAGCAACTTCACATGGAGATTCAATCCCTGGTCTGAAAACGGTTTAGCTAATGGGCTACCCTACCGCCGAAATAAACATTGATCATACAAAACATGGTTGTCGACATGGCATCTATTGCCCATTACATGTCTATAATAACAATCAAAATCCTTTGATTGAGCAAAACAACTGGCAGGGATAATTTATGAGATGTTTCAATCCGCTCACATCAAAATCCCTGAACGGGTCTCCGGCCATAGCACCACTTCCGCCATAACTACTGCTACTTCCGCCTGACGTCACTTCCTCCTTCCGGTTGACTATCTTCTCTCCATCTGGCTTGATGATCGTCTCCTCTGTGACTTTCTTGGTGACCTTGTTGGGCCCGGCCCCTTCCGTGACTGTGAACGTCCTGACGCTCCGCGACTCCGACTTGCGAAACCCCCCACTGCTCTGCGTGGGTTGACTAGAAAAAGAGCTGTCTTTGAAGAAGTCTCTGCGCATGTCTTCAAATCGAGTTTTGAAAGGACCTCCGCTGTCGTGCGTGTGTACATGCCTTCCTCCATCGCTGAACCCACTAGCCGGCTTTGCGTCGGCTGGAATACAGAGAAGCAATACATTGTTATTCATCAGATACCCAGAGCTTCGTTCCACACAACAATTTTAGTTCTAATGAGTAACTGGTTGGGTTTAACGCCGCTTCTTACAGTATTCAAGTTAGATCGTGGCGTGTCAGTTTAATGTGGGAGGAAAGCCAGAAGCGATGCATGTCTCAGACGTTACCATTTTTGGTGAAACCCACGACCATGGGTATGGTGCTAACAAACCTAGAAAACATAATCAGGACGAACCGGGATTCGAATCCCCGATCATAGGTTTCTGGCGGTTCAACGGGACATTTTAGTTCTACGACTAACGTAACTCCAATACTTCAACATGTACTTTCCGTAGTAGTAACGGTAAAATCGCTTTGAGGAACGAGGCCGTTGTTTCATAGTAAGGGACCTACCATTTCTTATGCATTTGTTTTGGTAAAACCTGTGGACTAATTATTTTACTAGAACACACTGGTTTCTACTAAAAAACACGTTGCCCCTCAATATTATTTATCATATCAAAAGTCCCAAAGTGTACATTTCTTCATGCGCTCATCACTTAAAGGGGACTATACTCCACGGTCTATTCTTGTCTAGGTCTAGACGTTGTATGCCAAGAGTGAAACAGGGACGTTGAATCTGCGTAATTACCTTAACCGTTAACTGCTGAATTGTACAAATCATGAAATATGGGTGAGAGGGATAAATCGACTTGAACCAAACTTGCTAAGACCGCCAAGACCCGATGCGGACCCTTTGCCACCATTGTTACAGTTCTTATACGAAATCAATCAAAAACAAATGCTGCAACGAAATCGCGAAGACATGAAACTTTTTATAGATAACAACTTTTATCCATCTGATTTATACATTGATGATATGCAGAACATTAACTAAGTACTCACGTGCTTTCTCTTTGATTACAATTTTGCCGTCTTTTGGGGGGAGGACGTTCCTGGCATAGTCCCCCATCATGTTGCCGGCTGGGCGGTAGTTAGCCACTACAATGATCTTCCCGTCCCGAGTCTGGGCCTTCCCCACCCCTACCTCCTTGCTGCCCTTCCACACCACCTGGGTGAAGTGACCTGCAGGAGATTATACACACGTCAAGGCCGTCAGCGACCATCCTCGATTCTCAAGTGTATTATTTCAGTGTTATTACAATAATTACCCTGGACTCATTCGTCATCACAGCGAACTCAAGTGACGTCAGTACCTCCCTCTCTCATATCGGTAACATAGCACAGAATATATCTCGCTCATGAGGGTTATTTGATTGGACGGCTATTTTAGCGTCGTATCATTGACGTCATACTTCGACTGACTGAACTCACGTACCGATGAAAGAGATGGAGAGAGTGATGTCACCTATGAAATGAGGGTGTGGGGATTGTTGGGCCCAGTGTATTCATCACAATAGAAGTTAGTTTGCCGTCAAGACAGTTACCTAATATATACTGACGGTCAAATGAAACTATACCACTTCATAAATGAAACTGCAAACTTTAAAAACACAAGTTCAAACTAAATCAATGCAAAACACATCGTTCAAACACAAAAATGCTCTATGCAGAAAGTGATACACGTCCACGGCATCTGTTTTTGTAGAAATACGAAAAGGCGAAAAACTCGTGCCGCTTTGGCAGCCGAACTACACCTACAATAAGGGTATATATATATATGATACGGACGGCAAGTCAGACACTCACACTGATAAAATCCCACCCCAAAGATACTACGACTGACACCCGAACAACGCGAGCGGGCCCTTGGTATAATACAGATGGGGGCTACCCATGCCGGCATTGCTTGAACATTTCCTTGCTCCAATGTTGCTTTAACTAAATTGATCATCAGACAGGCCAAATCAGGCAGACCCAGGGTAACTACGCCCAATGAAGCCCGGTACTTGGGTCTCCAGAATCGATTCCTGACAGTGACGTGATCAGCGACGAATGCCTAAGGGCTTATAGTTAGTCGACACTCTGTGGCCAGGCGACTCAGTGTTCAAGGAATTATGGCTTACAGGCCTTACACGGGACTGTTATTGACAGCGCAACATCGCCGTCAGAGATTGAGACTGGCCCGGGCTGTACAGAGGGTCGTCTTTACTGCCGGTTCTGTCTGTTGAGAACTGATAGAAGACGTCTCGGATGACATGGATCGTCGTGTTCGTCAGTGACCAAAGCCTTTAGCCAATCGACAAGAACTGATCCAGGCTCTCCAAGAAGAATGGCGACGTATCCCACGTGACGCCGGAGAGTTTTTCCGTGTCTCGTTAATGTGACGTGTCACTGAACTTGAGCGATTTTAGATGTGTATACCCTTTGTCCATTACGTTGAAAGTTTGTTTTTGCTACCTCACCTCACCTGCTGTATGACTGCCAATTTAAATGCAGATTTCGTTGAGATTTTTATCTTTTCAATACATTTTTCTTCATGCATCTATCTTAAAGTGTATGTTTTTTTAAATTACTATGGTAAAGTTTTTTTGGCCGTGTTCTGAAATTGTACGGCATTTCCTTACTTTAGATGCGTTGACGTGATGTGTGACACGCACGCACGCACGCACGCACGCACGCACGCACGCAATGTGTGTTATATGCGATGTTTACCTGAGCTCAAGCTTCGCGGTTCTCCGCCGAATGCATGCATCTTCACCTCGCTATACCACTGGTCAGTGACCTCCTGACCTGTAAACACGACGTGCCATAAATATTAATCACATTATTAAAACAAACAAAAAAGCAAATCATTTTATCCTTTCTTTGATATTACTTGATAGACAAGGTTTTAAAATAAGTTTTTATTAATTATATTCTGACATCGACTAACCGAGGAACTGTCCCCAAAAAGTCTCACATCACATGAGAACAAACGTTTAATTTGTTTGACCGTTTATTCTATCACAGAATTTCTGCAAAGGTGTTACAATGTATTAGAGTAAAAGCTCCACTGCATTCAAGGTATTCTTCTCGACTTTAACGCGTCTATCGTTAAGAGTATTGTCATGGCATATCAGAAACAATATCGTTCCCACAACACGAATATCACAATTACACGTCAATTGTTTGTTTGTTGTTTAATGCCGCACTCCAAGCAATATTTCTGTAAATAATCGAGTCTGGACCAGACAATCCAGTGATTGATATCATGAGCATCGATCGACGGAAATGGGATAAGATGACATGCATCAACCAAGTCAGCGAGTCTGACCACCCTACCCAGTTAGTCGCCTCTTACAACAATCATGGATTGCTGAATACCCAATACGTCCATTGAGATGATGTGGTTCAATAATGCAATATATCATTTGACTTAGCCTATAATCGTTGTGAGTGAGTGAATGCTGTTTTACTACGTGGTTTTTCACCACGGTCCCTATGTACTGAACTGTGGACTAGACAAACCGTATTGAAAGTGCAGTCAGCCAGGTCCCACAATACATACCGGGGCCTTCACCGCATATGTGAGCCCTTCCGTTTTGAGCCCATGGCCTTACATTAAGAAATCAATTTCGAGTGATCCAGCCCTAACGGATGTTTCCAAACATGTTGGGGGCGGCCGGGTAGCCTAGTGGTTAAAGCGTTCGCTCGTCACGCCGAAGACCCGGGATCGATTCCCTGCGTAAAACCATACTCACTCTTTCCAAACATGTGGCATGTGACGGTATTACATGCATAAACTAGACTGGTTAGAATAGGTCTTCAGCAACCCATGCTTGTCATAAGTGGCGATTATGTCTAACGGAATCGGGTGGTCAGGCTCGCTGCCTTGGGTGATGAATGTCATCGCAACCCAACAGCGTGGATCGATGCTCATGATGTCAATCACTGTATTGTCTGGTCCAGACTCGACTATTTACAGACCGCCGTCATACAGCTGAAGTTGGGGTGCGGCGTTAAACAAACAAACAAACACACAGAGAGGCTTCCATAATTATAAGAGACATTGTTCTCTTCAATTGCATTTCATGATGTTTTGGTGTTTAAGTGGCGTGTTATTGTTTTATTGTACATCTGAATTTGAACAGAGTTGATTTATCAAAATCGAATGAAAACTGGTTGTGCAATATGTGCAATCCTGGTACAGCTGAGCGCGAGAGCATGACAGGAGATGGGGTAAAAGCACCTTGGCCCCGTTTCACAAAGCGATCTTAGCGCTACGGCTGTCATTACTCAAACACTCTAAGACCCTCTCACACACACACACACACACACAGACACACACACACACACACACACACACACACACACACACACACACACACACACACAGACACACACACACACACACACACACACACACACACACGTTGGGACGTTTGTCTGTCTATCACTGGTTTGTCTGGTCCAGATTCTGAGCGGCGTTAAACTAGCGCAGCGCACCGACAACTGGCTACCACATAAGCGTCATTCAACGATGAGACGTGGATTACAGAATGAGACATAAGTTTACCTGTGTACGCATCCGGTCGAGATGACCACTTCATGGCAATATTCTCGCCTAGTGGTTCCCCCTTCAAAGAGGCGTTGCTGTGCTGGAATGTGTTTGTGAGAGCCAGGTGGTCCGCCCATTTCTGCGCCGTCGATGACAGGTCTTTGCTGTGGGAGAGTGACGGCGCCTGGTGGCGAGACCGGTACTCGTTGTGAGCCTTGACCACCTCGTCTATGAACTTCCGGTCGGACATGTTTTGTCCCTGAAACATAATAAACGCAATTAATATTATCTGTCGTTTGTCCTTCCAATCAAACATGAAAACGATGATTCCAATATCTGATACCCGTGAAAGGATGCTCGGTAGTGTTGTGAAGTGCTCTCGTTACTGACCACTGTTCTGGTCAAGTCTGCGAATACGTTTTTAAAAGTAGGTTTTGATTTGCTTTTGTGTGTTTGTTTGTTTGTTTGTTTGTTTGTGGCTTAAAATTACACTTAGCAATATTTCAGCTATATTACATCTTCACCTGTTAACACTACCAATTTGGAATTCCAATTCACTGTCATCGGATCCTGGCACGACTCGGATTGCGCCTGTTAGGTTATACTTTTACAACGTCTTGCTCAAAATTATTGATCTAATTAGTGTGTATATTTCTTCATATTTATTCTAATTATCACAATCATAACTCCAATGTTTGCTGTGACTTGATCGTGCCTGGTCAATGATCCTGGTAGCAGGACAGCGTTATGGAAACTATACTGATTGACAGTGGCGTCTTCACATGGCGAAAGGTTGTAACAATGAAATCGAAGCGTTAGTAAAATCCGAGTTATCGTGAATGTGACGTCATTAACAAAAAACCTTCCTTGCACAATGATCTTTGTTTGTGCACAAGTTCTTAACAGAGCATGCACAACATATCAACGGCGATGGGCAGGCGCTGAGATATGAACCATGTTTCATAGCCTCATATAATGTACACAATAAAACTAACACGCCTTGACTTAAGATCAGTAGCTTGGCCAAGACCTCACAAATTGGCAAGTTGACGTTGAATACACTTTGGTTGTGTTGGATGTAGTCTAGGCTGTATGAATCTCAACAATGATAGGTATCAAGGTTTATTAAATAATATTTACTAAATCACATTATCAATAGTATGTCATAGTTTAAAGTCCCGTCATGCCTGAAATAACGTCTACACCAAGGGCGGATCCAGGACTTTTGCAAAGGAAGGGTTCAAAATATCAAATCCTCTCTCAGATAACTTTACTGCCTGCAACATACTGCTATGTTGAGTACCTTTAAAAGTGTGACAGATCAAGGATGACACACAAGGGGAAGAGAACCAACGACCAGCGAATCCTGGCACGGCCCGTGGACTCGACCCCCCCCCCCCCCCCCCCCCCCCCCCCCCCCCACACACACACACACACACACACACAACATAAGCATTAGCCTACGTCCTTTACGTTTGTTGGTTTGTTGTTTAACGCCGCACTCAGCCATATTCCAGCTATATGACGACGGCCTACAAATAATCGAGTCTGGACCAGACAATCCAGTGATTGGTATTGTTAGCAGCGATCCACTCCGTCGGGGTACGATGAAAGGCGATCAACCAAGTCACCAAGCCTGACCATCCGACCATTTAGTCGCCTCTTACGACTAGCATAGGTTGCTGGGGGCCATTTTTACCCGGAATTCCCACGAGGGCAATCGTTACAAGTATGTGGAGGATTTCACTGTAGAGACTTTTGATGTTTATTATATATCATACACTAGCCTGTCTCCCATACCCTAGAGAATACGGTATAAAAGGAATACAACTCAAGTCTGTAATGCGTGAGTGAGTGAGTATGGTTTTTACGCTGCTTTTAGCAATATTCCAGCAATATCACGGAGGGGGACACCAAAAATGGGCTTCACACATTATACCCATGTCGGGAATGGAACCCGGGTCTTCGGCGCGACGAGCGAACGCTTTAACCACTAGGCTACCCGACCGCACCTCAAGTGTAGAATCATTTGGCAAGGTAAGACTGCCTGAAATTAATCATCGTTCTGGGCTCCATGTGGTTTATATTTTTTATTTTGAAGATTTTTTAAGTACTTTACTCTGGGACTAAATGTAGGTCTAATCATACACATACATGTATATATGTCAATAAACACCAAATGTCAATATGTACACTTATGTATAGACCAGACATCACCCTGCACGAGACATGCATGCTGCACGCACTAATATGAACTCAACAGCAGGTGTCACGAGACGGACAACGTCTTTACCAATAAGCTTTTTGTGATCAGACAGCCTCTCACTTTAACAAGAAATGTGCATAAGGATATATTTCCTTTTAATAATCACATGCTTGACGGGTTGTTTGTGTCTTAATAACACTATGTTTAAAAATAAACTGACATCTTAAAATGTTTTCTGTTCGGTGAAGTAAAGAGGTGTGCTTTAGAACTGGTTCAGTTGGTACTCGTCCCACACTGATCATGGCCAATATATTGTCAGTTATACAAATTCAATAACAATATCTACGAGAATAAGACAGACCGTCTTGACTGTGATTTATTCACATTTGTGCAAGGGTAAGGGGGACACATCTTCCCGAGGCAAGAGAGTTAACTGACTGTAAAAGTCCAGTTTCCACCCTTGCCGAACTAGGCGGGGATTATGGAGTTACATTTTGGCTGGACTAACGAGTCTATGCCTAGTCCAATCAAAATCGCGCACCGAAATCGAAATCCGGTTCGTAAACTGTCGTGCCGATTTTGGTCGATTGCAGGATTTGCAAAACATGTGCAGCGCCAACTCGTTGTCAGCAGATATTTTTCAAATCTTTTCATGTTTTTAGTTAAGTTGCTCACGTGATTTGATGCATGTCGTGATATAAGACCCGTTTTATCACAATATAGATCTTGATTATCGAGGACCCAGTGCGGCCCTCTGACATTTGCAATTATAGTGACGAAACGTAAACTCCATTGTTGTGATAGTTATCGGAGTCACATGACTGACGTCAAGCCTTCGTTTCCTTGTGTATCTTGCAGGGCGTGGACCTTTGGAGTGAGCGAGTGTGTTTGGTTTTACGCCGCTTTTTATCAATATTCCAGCAATATCATGGCGGGGGACAGCAGAAATGGGATTCACACATTATACCCTTGCCGGGAATCGAACCCGGGTCTTCGGTGCGTTGGCCTTATGCCATGATTGAGTACATAAGTACGGTGAACAGGACGATCTTTCGAACTTCGAGAAAAACTATCTGTGAACAATAATTCCGTCACCACAACTTCGAACTTTAGACTGCCTTGGCCTACATCTTGGAGTATCAGCTCGGCTCTTGTTTACTAATCAGGAAAACGTTTAAATCAGCCTTTTGACACACCATAGTCTAACCTCTACGCCGATCGTCGCTGTACAAAGTAAGTCAAGAACAAGCAGGTGTTGAAAAGAACCAAGTTTTTTTCTCATTCAAATGAAACCATGTGTTATCTTAATTCAATGATGATTTGTAAAGGTTTCCCTGGTTCTAAAGGTATGCAGCACCAGTACCAGTGGGTAAAAGTGGCCTTTAGGAGCATCCATTGATTCGATGGGGGCGGGGGATGGGGTGTATTTTAGAACAATCTATTTTTCCCCAGCTATGTCCATTATCAAACAAACTATATACACCGAGCTCCATCAAACAATCTATTCATTCCAACTATTAACACAAACATGTTGACGTTTGGTATTTTCCACAAGACAAACTCTTTATCTTCTTCCCCACTGACAACATACTAATCGCTTGGGCTTGTTTCTGAACAAACTCTTCATATACCACACACGCACGCACGCACACCGGAATGCTCCGGATGCTCTGTTAAAATACTGCGTTCTTTCGGGTCGGGGATCCGCATTCGTTGGTGGTGAAATATCCATCGTCGTAGCTAGGTCGGGATGTTAACGCAGTAATCAGTGAAATATACACCGAATTTGGAGAACGGCGGCCTTGTCAGTTTCCGATTTCCTTGTTGATAGTGTTATCTTTGTTGAAACATACAACAGACATTGAAATATCTTGTTCGGGTTTTTGTTATCAGCACAATAAAATGTGCTAAATGGTAAAATGATTACCAATAAGAGACATGTGACATGAGTTTGACGCCGCTTCGAAAACAACCCAGTGCAACCCTGTTATTCCAGACGCTATTGTCCCACCGAAAGGGTCCGCTTTAAAAAAGTTTCGGATTAACGAAACATGTTTACGGAACAATTGTCACTGTGCAGCCCATATCGTCGGGTCACTATGACCCTTTTCATACATTTAACTGTTCCAGGTAGTAACCGTTCCGCCGGCGAGGTTTTCCGATGATCAGCGTTCGTATTAACGAGGTTTCACTCTATTTCATTTATATGACGGTACATCATATTAATGTTAGAGGATAAAGCTAAAAACTGTCCCACGTTGTAAACGTTTCCATTCAGGCGACCCCCGCAAAGACCCAGGTTAGAATTTATCTTCAGCAACCCATCCTTGTCGTAACAGGCGACTATGCTTGTCGTAAGAGGCGACTAATGGGATCGGGTGGTCAGGCTCGCTGACTTGGTTGATGCATGCCATCGTATCCCAACTGCGTAGATCAATGCAGATCTGGTCCAGACTCGAATATTTACAGACCGCCGTCATAAAGCTGGATTATTGCTGAGTGCGGCGTTAAAACACAAACTTCGATTACGCTTGTTTCTTTGTCTGTCGCCGCACTCAGCAATACTCCAGCTATATGAAGAAGGCCTGTAAATAATCAAGTCTGGACCAGACAATCCAGTGATTGATACTATGAGCAGCGTCCCACGCAGTCGGGGTACGATGACACACAATCAAACCATCCATTGAGTCGCCTCGTACGACCAGCATAGGTTGAGAAGGGCCTATTACCAAATGTTTGATTAATTATAAAACACAACACACATGGACTGCATGTCCAAACACGGAAATAAATTCTACTTCCTCATTCGTTAGCAATACGTTAATCATTAGACACGTCCTAATATGAACTAAATTGTACTGACCTGAAATTTGGGAGAAATGTGTATTTTGAACGTAGATCGCGACATGATGTTGGTAGCTGGTCTCTATATAACGAGGGTTGGATGAATAACGTAGTTTCAAGTAACAACACCGTTTAGTTCCGTTTTAGCAGCTGAACTGAGGTCAAAGGTTGCAGTGACACGCGGGGACGGGAAACAGTCAAGTGGAGTT